GTGACTTGAGCAGCAGCTGTGTTGGTGCGCGTTGAAACGGAAAACCTTGCGAAATATTAAATAATTATATATTCGAATCTTTAATAATCAAAACGAAACGACGACGCCCGTCATTTTGAGTACAATACGAGTGTGACGGTTAAATAGATTTTTTTTTTTTAAATGAAAATGTTCATGGAAGGTAGTAATTTTCGAATTACGACGAGTTACACAATATTCGTCGGTATACAAAGTCTGCCTCAATGCATAAACGTGTGCGTGAACTTGGGTAGGTATATTATACTATATAGGTTATCCATTTAAGTCTCTACGCTCGTCATTTTGTTAACTTTTAACTTTTTTGAAAATATTAATTTTACATAATTTTATGTAGTTCAAAAATAACATTTACCAATAAAAAATTCAATTTTTACTATTTTTTATTGTTATAATTTTTATGTTTTTACTTTTTTGAAAGACACTATACCTTTTTTATTTCATATATTTTCAAAACAGAATATTATTCTCATTCATAGTATTTCAATTAATTACGCTATGGATAAGTAGTACATTAGTTATAAGTATTGAAAGTTTGGATTACTGGAGGAGTAGACAACATTTTGTGCAGTACCTCTCTATTCCGATAATCTAAACATTAAATGTTTAATAACTAATGAACTATCCGAATATATTTTGATCTTTATAGATTGAAATTTTCCAAATAACATTTTGCTTTGGAATATAAAATTAGAAATGTATGGTGTCATTCAAAAGGAACAAAATACTTAAAAATTATAACAATATAGGAAATATAGAAAACATTAAAAAAAAATTCAGAAATATTGTATTTAAATAACTTAAAAACGTATTAATTATAAAATATTTTATACGCGACTAGTAATATTTAATACACTATATTATTATCAGAAGGTACTTATTTATTATATTTTTTTTAAACAATAATTTAATGAATCAGTAATTTTGTTTTCACTTTAGAGCTTAGACTTATGTACTTATATGAAAAATACACAGTTAAATATTGCAACTAATAAACATGATCTTATTCTCGGGGATCTTATCATCGTTTTCAGTAGTTTTATATACCTAGCTTAAAAATATAAGAGTATAACAAAACGCAAATATTTTAAAAACAATTATAATATATCAATCTATTTAATTGGACATTTGATTTCGAAGTGTTTAAAATTGGTTTTCATGCTAATGAAAATTACTGCTTTACAGGAAATGGTTTAATAGTTTTGGAACACAAAATTAATTTGGTTTTTTTTTATTGCGCGTATACCATACTACCAGCAATTGAAAAATTGTGAGTTTCAATAGTATAGATGTATAACTATTAATTATAAATATGCCTTATAAAGTTTTTGAAACGGAATTAATTAATTAAATATTTCTTATTATTTAAATATTAAAGACTATACAGGTAATTTAAAAAATAGTTTTATCACAATTCACAATCAATCAGGGATTATGCAAAAACGAGTAGGTACAAAATTGTAAAATTATAAATATTCGAAACTATTATAATATTATGGACATGAATACGATAATAATTATGAACATTTAATGTTCGATTGAAGGTTTTGTTGGTACGAAACAATTCACCATGTGCATGCGACAATTTTATTACGGTGATAATTGACCTCTCCATGTGCGGTTATGGCGAATGAAATAAAACATCTACGACGGATATCATTATTACCATAACATTTGCGGTTAAGCTCGCCATAAAATAATTTCCCTTGATCAAAAGCATTTAGTGAATGACGAATGTTTTCTCTTATCGATATTTCTATTTTATCCCACAACAACATTTTTATAAAAAATTAAATGGCATTTAAAATTCTATTTGATCCAAAACAGCCATCCATAAAAAAAAATAAAAAAATAAAATAAACTGATCTAGTTAAAAGTACTAATTACACATTTATAAAATCTGGTTTTCATCAATGTTTGCTACTTTTTAATAATTTATTCTAATTTTATTTTTATAAAATTACCTTCGTACCATTTATGTTATATCCACAATAGCTGCTTCATGTGTTTGTGCACCTAATGCATATTTAATTGTAAGTTAGGAGCTTACTTGATGTTCCAAAATACTTATTACTCTATAATTATGTATATTATACATACGTACATAACAATTTTGATGACATTTCAATAACTAGTACTAAGTAAGTAATACTACTAAGTAATATACATTGTATAAGTATAAGTATTGTATAAGTAACACGTGTATCATATAGTCCAAGTGTTGCTCTGGAGTGGGTGGGTATTGATAGAAGAAAAATAGGATATATTTTTATAGGTTGGAATAACAATATTATACGAGGGGTAGCCGGGTAGGTCACCTAAAATTATTTGAGCAACGGCAATTTATTGTTTTTATGTTGCACGCTACTGCATTGTATTCACTATTTACCACAAACGTGACTCACAATTCACAAACATTCATATTTTTTAAATTTATAATAATATTATGTTTTTTTTGTATGTTTATTTACCTAAATCAGTTATTATGTGGGTATACTTATTGTTTTTGAAAAAATAAAAATTGAAATCTATAAAAATAAGACGTAATGTTTTTGATCCCCTTAGAAAAATCAAATAAGTTAAGAGGACGTGATCCCCGTAAGTGTTGTCTCCGTCTTCTAAGTGCATAACATATAGCAAATTATACGCAAAGCAGAACACGTGTAGCTCCGTTAGCTTAAACATTTGAGTAAATTGACCTCTTATAAAATCTAAAGGTAAAATTATTATCCAAACAACCTCATGAGCTTTTTTATTATATTTTAACATTTAAGCGAGTTATGAGTACTTTAAAATGTGCAAACAATTTACAATTTTAAAACACTCATAGCTAAAATTAAACTCAAAATTAAAATATAATAAAAAGTCCATGAGGTTGTCTAGATAATAATCTTACCTTTAAATGTTATAAGAGCTCAATTCACTCTAATTTTTAAGCTAACGGAGCTACACGTGTTCTGCTTTCCGTATAATTTGCCATGTTATGCACTTGGAAGACGGAGACAACACATGCGGGTATCACGTCCTCTTAATACATTTCATAACAATTACCTATATTTGGCTTTTACACAATTATTATGTTGCTTAAGAATATAATTAACGCATATTCAAGTAACGGATCTAAGACTAGAATTTATTTTTTATTTAGAAAAGCGATTGCTAAGGCCTACATAAAATTGTATTACGGACTTTCGATGTGACGTCTATTCGATTCATTTTTATCACCGTTATTTTATCGCATCCCTTCAATGATCGGATTTCCTGTTGCAAACGCACGACTGCGTTTTTTCTACATGGAAAGGCGATCGTGTACCATTTTTATAACAGCACATCTCTTAATAACATCGATCGCTTTTGGCATTTCTATCACGTATTATACAAATAAAATTCTATCAGTGGGAAATTAATTTAACTTAGGTATTGACTGTTGAAAATATTATTTATTGATAATGTTAACAAATTTATCATATTATCAGTAAAAAATCGGAATTACGTCTTATGTAACATTTTATTATTTCTTGTCGAAATATACGCGTCTTAACTTTTAAATGGAATGTATAACAACTACTAAGGCCCAGATATTGATTACCTAAAAAAAGTTGGATGTAAAGTTTGTTCCAAGTGAGTTCCATAATATTAATATATGATATCAGTCAAAATTTATAAAACTACAAACATGACTAATCAGATAATGATAAATAATAAAATCCTCGACAACCTCGACAACAAATTAGTATGCTTAGGTAACTCAAGTCTTATATTACAAATAAGTAATGGATGGTTTCTTATCACAATACTCATGACTGATTTATTTCGATACCACATGTCCATATCACATATTATTAAGTATAATATACTGATATGGCTATAGACTTATAGTCCAAATATAATGTCCATTTGCATATTTATTAATAAAAATAATTATAAGTAGACAGTAACCAGTAGGTAGTCATTAGATTGAATTAAATATACCTAAATACCTAATACGAAAATATAATAACATTCAACAACAAAAATATGATACTAAAAAAAAATCATATTTTATTTACACTTACACTTATTTAGACTTTTTTTTAAGGTTTTAGAAATAAATTACCTACTGCAGAATATTATGTCGTTCCATTTCTCATTGATAGATAGTTTTATTACCAAAGTCACATGTAAACGGCATATTATAATAATATAATTATATGTTATAAATTATACTCTAATTCAAATCAAATAAATGCACATAAACATAAATATATAAACATATTATAAACATAATTAAATATATTCTATCAGATAATAAATACTGTGAAATATAATATAGTATTCCGTACAATAGAGGTATATTATAATATTGTATTATTCATAATAGTAATTGTGTTATTTGGTCAGGGTGTGAAAACAAACCATAGCACATCGAACAGATGCTGTCGGGTCAGTAAAAGTTTCCATTAAAGTCCCAAAGAAGTTGATCGATGTAATGGGTAAATGGTTTAAGGCGTGAAAAGTGTATAAAAACCGACGTTATTGATGCTGAAAGTAGAGGCACACCGATGATCGAACGTTCAGACAGTCAGTTGGCTCAGAGCCTGTGATAATTCGGGTAGAGCGTAACCGCGACCGTGGTGGTCGGTGGTTTTACAAGGTCGTTAAAGGGAAACCTTTCAGTATATTATGCTGTAGTCGTCTTTAAAATTATCTACATATACCTACTATTGTAACACAATAGTTTCAGTATATGAAACTGACGAAAACGTAATAATATTTGGTGCAGAGTTGTTGAAAAATTTATTATATTTACATTAATTCCAATAAAAGTATGATAATTTTAATAATATTAAGATATTGATTAATTATTTCTTAGTCTCGATGTGTTGACGACGTAAGTTGGCATCGTTGTGTAAGGTGATCAGTCTCGAATTTTCAGTGTTTACTCTCTTACTGTATTCGAAAAAATACCAAACATCGTGTGTGTTTCACACGATGTCAAGACGATGTGATGGAGTGGTTTCAGCCATATTTTCCTCTGTTGGCGAGTGGCAGTCTGGCGACGAGGGCTCCTCTCTTGGACAACACAAACGGAACGGATTCCTCAACAGGCAGAGTAATTTTGTCCACCGGTGACCACTCGTGGTGCTCCGGTCACCTTGTGGTTCATCACTCGCCCTCAGCAAGTCCACCAAAGACACTTTGCTGTGACCGTACATTTCGACGGCCGATGCCGATCGTCTTATGGGCCGTCGTTTGCTTCGTCGCCGTCGGTCGAGCCCCGTCAGATCAGCTCTAGAGACGACAGCTGACAAGACACGTCCTTGGGTTGGGAGGCCAAAATCCGTGAGTGGTGGGACACCTGTCGAGGAGGTCCCTGCAGCAGCCAGTGGTTCGACGTGGTCGTTCTCATCAATAGTGTTGTCGTGGTAGTCGGTATTCATTAATAATTATTATTATATCTATTCATCGACAACATTTTATTTTATTTCTAAGAGTCTGATAATATCATGTCAATTGACTTAGTGTGTTTTCGTTATCTTATATAAAAATCTCGTGTCACAATGTTTGTCCGGGATAAACTCCGAAACTACAGAACCGATCATGATGAAATTTTTAAACTGTGTGTAATTTGGTCCAACTTAAAAGATAAGCTAATTTAAAAAAAGAAAGAACCAATCCCGGGAGGTGCTTAAACGGGAATTTTGAGATTTCCGATGGAAACTTTTGTTTATAAATGGTTGCCATGGGTTTTTAAGCTATTATAATAATAATAAAAAAAAAATCAACATGTTTGTTAATTTGTATTATTATCTTTTGTAAATATACATATATATAATATATAATATATATATATACAAGATGATCTGATAAGCAGTTCCAGAGATTAGTCTGTATAGTTATAGTATGTGTTATATATATATATATAAATTAATGTTTGTGGGTAGATTAGACCTCTGGGAAGAAGATAGGTTAATTTACAAATAAATAAAAGTAAATATTAAAAAAATAATAAAAAAGTGAGAGAGGACCCAACATTTACACTCTAGAGAAGTAAAGTTTCCCTAAAAAAGTAATTGGGACCTTGAAATTATAAGTGAATTAGGGAAAGAGTAAGAAAAATAAATAAAATAAAAAAATAAGTAATTTGCGATAGACATCCTACTAATATTATAAACGCGAAAGTTTGTAAATTTGTTTGTTACTTTTTCACGTAAAAAGTACCGAATGGATTTTAATGAAACTTTACAATAATATAGCTTATACATCAGAACAACACATAGGCTACAAACCACCCCCTAGCTCCAACCAAGGTATGTGCTCAAACGGGGATTTAGATACTTAAGGTGGACATTTTTGTTTATAAATGGTCACCATGGGTTTTAAAGCTATTATAATAATAATTATTGGTTGCCGTGAAATCAGTGTATTCATTCAATGTACATATTTGTTTGTACTCTGTGTTTTGATATTATATGTATCACAATTACGTAAATATTGAGCGTATTATACTCACATATAAGTTACGTACATAAAACAATGCCACGTATTCATGGACGAGGGGGAAATATTGGTCGACAGACTCGGCATTCACAATTAGTCCATCCGTTTAGGAGGGGTTCAGTGACATACTATTGGTATAACTTTGATACTTTAGAGTTAAATTATACAGAGTAGGTAACTATACAAAGTTACGTACAAACAGCACGGAGTCCACGATCTACTGCAGATAAATTTCCTACCTGACAACGTGCTGCTGAGAATCAGAATTTTTATTCTTCTTAAAAGTTAAGATACACTTTGAAAACTATACACCGAATATTAAATAACGAATTGAACAAATTTTGAGTCATATAGAGTTGTTACATTTAACGAGCAACGAAGTGCACGGGATCAGCTAGTATATTATAAACATTTTGGATAAATCAATAATAAATTCTCTCTTGTGTATTTGGTAACTACCTACTTAAATGCGTATATTTTTTTTGGATACAAACAACTGATATTATAATAAAACATACATGATACACAATTATATGGTAGGGTAGTTCAGAAACTCAATATGAAAATTAAAATAAACATAGGTCGTTTGGCATCTTTTGGCAAGTTATTTGTGACATTTTTCACGACTTAAATCTATATAGGTACCTACTGCTTTCATACATAACCTCCGAAGTTCGATAAACCTACGTAATCATAGCCACAAAATGGACTGAAACGTGAACTAGTGACTTGTTCTTTAACAATTGTATGATCTTATTTAATAATATATATTTTATTTATTGTATACGATTTATTGTATACGCCAATAAGGTTAAGGTATAATTACGTACTCAAGTCAATCAAAACTTTAACGATTTACGTTAGTTCTTATGGTTTATGTTTAAGTTAAATCAACAAAATGAAAAATGAAACGAAACCTAGTTGGGTATTTATTAGTTAGATTAGTTTGAATGCACAAGGGACAAATTCCACTTGAAAAATGTTCCACTTGAGTTTGTTTGATAATTAGATTTGTTGACATTTAAAATTTCAAAGCAATGAACCGTCGCATTTTGAAATAGAATTTGATTTAAGTGCATTTAACATGGTTAAAAATAATAAATTCCTTGTTTTGTGAATGAATAACAAAATAAAAATAATATATTTCATTGCTTATTCTTGATCAATAAAGTGTACTTATAGTTAGTTAGACCTTGATAACATTAGATACCTAACTATATTTATATATTTTTAAAGGTCATCTAACAAATTTATTTGCCTTGTAAACATTTTACTAATTTAATTATTTGTTTATTATTATGAAAATTATACAAAAATGACTTAAGTCCATATTTTATAAAAACGTTGTAGGTACACTGCTTATATACTTCATTAAACAGAAGTTTAATGATCAGTTAGTTGTGACTATAATAATAATTTAATAGGCATTAAAAGTAGGTACTTCAAAGTTCAAAGTATTCTACATTCAGTTAAGGTAACTGTAATTAAGTTTATTAATAAGTAGAGCCATTATACAATCAAGTTGGTCACCACAATTGGCCATTTCCAATATTGTAGGAATTTTTAATTTTATTGTCTTACCTATATTTGAAGAAATCATACATGATACACTTTTATCAAAATATGTTATGTAAATACTAAATACCTATTTTACGACTATGAACGGAGTTGTAAATTGTATTCATATTACATTTATATGAGAAATATTCAAATAAAATATCACATGCTACCTACATGCATTATATTAAAATGCCTATTATATTCTATTGCACTTTAACATTTTCATTTGAACTTTATTATTATTTATCACAACTTAATTAGAAATATATAAACTATTTACTATTTATAACTATTTCTAAACAAAAAAAGTACACGATATGCTCAAATGATTACTTAGGTAGGTATTTTCAAATTCTAAAAACCAATTTGCAATGATTAATATTCAAAATATTGGCATAATTTTCGAGTTGATTAGACTTAACGTCATGGAAGTCATCGGCGTCATTTTATTTTACAATGATTTATACTGTGAACATTTCTCATTATGTTATAAATATCTTATTCTAATAAAAATATGCATTCAAGTATGCATTAACAGACTTATATGTAAAATCCATATAAATTATAAATCCGTTTCCTTTCCAATCTATTCGAATATTGTAATATATTTTGCTATTTTCGACATACCTTTGGATTATAAAGTGGACGAGCCAAGTTCATGCAAGTCGAGTTATCTGTTGTATATAAAATACACGAAATTAAATTTTAAAAAACTCATATTATAACGCTCTTAAAAATTAAAATTAAAATATTGTAAGACCCAATGCACGAGCACATATAACGTTCTTAATTTTTAAGTTTGATATTAGATTTAAACATATATATGCTTTCCGATGCAATTTATTTATTCAATTCAAAAACCTATTTTGTATTATTTGCTTTTTGTCTGCATACCTTTGGAGTCAATGGGCACTCAAGTGAGTGGGGCACCTGAAGTTAGCTGAAATTATATTAATTAAAATTGTATGGTATAAGATATAAGATATGAAATGGTATCTAGAGTAAATATTCAGATACAAAATTATCCATAATCTTGTTACAATACATTTAATTATCTTAGATAATTTGTTCACCTCAGATATAACAACTATATAAAATAGATGTATACGTCTTTTAAATATTTATTATTATTATAAGTATTATTTAATTTAGGAGAAACTATTTATGCATTTATTTACAGTGAAACCGTGAATATATTATCTGGTTTTCATCTTGTAATCCAAAATAATAAATTTTCTGTGAAACAAAAACATAATAATCATAAAACGCCCACACTTGATTTGTAGGTCATTCAAGCGTCTTTTAACGGCCGATTTATTTTTGAAAACCTTATTGTTCACGGTGGTATATTTTCAACGAACCTACTATTTTATTCTTTGTTATTTAACGCATCGACTCACGAAGCGAAGTACAGAACTGTCTAAACCAAAACAAGTGTTTGGGAAGTATGATGTTTATGAACAGTTTATATTTATGAACGTTACGTATGAGAAATCATTTAATAATTCATAATTTATTATTATTACTCTTTTTATAAATCTTATTGTTAGGAATTGGATATCGAATAAAATCTATCTAGAAATATAAACTAAAATAAAACCAATACCATTATAATCATGCTAAATATGCTACTACCAGTACCAATAATTATACGATTTACTCAAATTTTAATACAATATATTGTACTCGAAATTGTATTCCTTATATTATTATTGAAGTAAAACTTCTTTCTTGAGGTGCGGGTGGAAAAAAATCGTAACGAAAAATGAGACGACACATTTGTTTATTTATTTATGTACTAGCTGATCTCGTGCACTTCGTTTAACGTTAAATGTACCAACTCTATATGACTCAAACTTTGTCCAATTCAGTGTATGGTTTTTAAAATTTATCTGACCTCTTTTGTTGCCTTTGATAAAAATTCTGATTCGTATCAGTATAATATTATCAGGCAATCTACCTACGGTATATCGAGGACCCCGTTCTGTTTGTACGTAACTTTATATAGTTACTCTATATAATTTAACTCTAAAGTATCAAAGTTATACCAAGTATGTCACTGAACTCCTCCTAAACGGTTGGACTAATTGTGAATGCCGAGTCTGTCGACCAATATTTCCCCCTCGTCCATGAATACGTGGCATTGTTTTATGTACGTAACTTATATGTGAGTATAATACGCTCAATATTTACGTAATTGTGATACATATAATATCAAAACACAGAGTACAAAAAAATGTGTACATTGAATGAATACACTGATTATTCACGGCAACCAATAATTATTATTACAATAGCTTTAAAACCCATGGCGACCATTTATAAACAAAAACTTCCACCTTAAGTATCTAAATCCCCGTTTGAGCACATACCCTGGTTG